GAGCTACTATGGGAGAGAACGAACTAGCTTCCAGTTGAAGAGAAAATTAAGGGAAGAATTAGTAAATGGATAGGTCATTCACTACAGAACTCATCAAACTGACTCACAAAGCAAGAGTGTTAACTTAGAATCCTGAATAAAAAGGAAAATGTGTAAGGTCAAATAACACACTGCGTCAGGAATTGGAAGCAAACATGAAATGAATGAATAACAACTGGAAACAACTGGAAAGGATTTTCCAGAACAATGTTAGTTAGAGAATGTTGATGGGTGAACTATGCGCCTCTCTAAGGTATAATAGGCGTAATTAAACAGGTAAGTAATTTGATTAAATTTTGTTACAGAGCATTAATATTATTTTTTTCCCTGAAAAATTCATACATTTACACAACTAAACTTTTCAGAAAATAGTAGAGAAAAAAAGAACAAGAACTTATGAATCACGCGAATAACGCGTTGATCTTTGACGTGAATAGTGCTGAGTTCGAGTCCCGGGGTGAACATCAAATCTATGATCCAGGTATATCCGGCTGAAGAGTCCCAAATAGAACGAAACATGCTTCCTAGATCTCACTACTAGTCACTATTCATCTTTGCTTGAAATTGCTTATGAATCAATTTAATTAATTGTATCTAGACTGATCATGTTTTGGTATAAGTTTATTGATTAATGAAAAGTAATTAAAAATTAAACAATCAGCCAATTAATAATTAATTATACTTTCTTTTGTATTCAAAGTGCGTGCATATTGAATATTGAATGATTTGTTCCGATTATTGATTTAGTTGTTTATTCGATTGAAGTTTAACATGATATTGATTTTGTGAATATAAATGTGTAGTTTATTGACTTATGCCTGTTACCTTTCATGGAGGAGCATAGGTCACCCACTTACATTCTCTCTGTCCTGGACAATCCTTTTCAGTGGATTCCAGTTGTTATTCATTCTTTTGATGTCTGCTTTCAATTCCGGAAGCATTGTGTACGTTGAAATTCCGTCTTTCCGTTTCGCTTCACGATTATAAGTAAACGTTTGTCTTATGACGTAGTTTGATGATTTTTGTAATGTATGTCCTATCCACTTTCAATATCATTCCTAATTTTCTCTTCAACTGGAATCTGGTTTGTCATCTTCCATAGTTGATTGTCGCTGATGGTACCCGACCAACGGATATCGAGTATCTTGCTTAGACAGTCACAATTAATTTAATCATTGTAATAATTTATAGGTCAGCAAGTGAACGCTTAGTTAGGTAGTAACCAATATAATTCTATTTAATCATAAAGGCTGATTAGATTTTTATTAGCTATAGTTCGGGCTGAGAATGTCTACCTACATCTGTATCGGTCTACAATAAAATTACCAAGACAAATCCAGAGTAGTACAATATGGAAGTATCGACCAAATGCATCTGGATCATTGATAAGGATTATGGGCTGTTTCACTCTATATTTTCAATCATTAGCGACAATTATCTACTACATTTAAATCAGTTAGTTTGAGCATATAAACATGGAATAGCAAAACATTCAACGACCTCATGAATTGATGCGATGTGTTTGGATGGCTGTACCTAACTTTCTGTCAGCCTATTCCTATAGAGGAAAATGTCGCTTACCTTGACAGATGATATTTGTAATACGTAATGCATATTTTAGTTAACTTATTCAATAAAGATTCAATACCACGACAACAAACTTGCTATCTGTAAATGGTTGACTGTGTCTCACTTCAGCATTTCACATGCGGTGGTCATGATCTATGATTCAATCCCAATGAATAATGAGTACTCGTCCCTTGTATTAACTAGACCAAAACTTTTTTGCTAACACTGAAGAAGAACAGTTGGTACCTGCTACTTGTTACAAAGGAACAAAGATTGATACTACTCAATTCAATGAAGAAGGTCAGACTATATATCGAAATTTAATTGTGCATTAACAATACATCCACACGTTTTTGATGGAGTTTTGTTCTCTGAACTGGATGGTTCGGAGCTTTCTACTGAACGATATCATCAGCACAAATTTCAGATAGAAGTAAAGAACCACTCAACATCGAGATCTACAGGACAAGCTGTGAACCACACGTGAAAAAATTGGTACGCTTCACTTCTATCTGAAGTTTGTGCTGATGATGTTGTTCAGTAGAACGATGAAAGCTCCACGACCAAACCATCCAGTTCAAAGAAAAAAAGTACGTCGATATCATATACTTGAGCTACAAATATTCTCCACCATCTCATATCCATAAGTGGTCAACTACTGATGGAAAACAGTATTTAAAAACACTGAGTTATATATAAGTTTAGTATCTGATAAATAGTCAACTTTGAACTAGATCGTAATGTCAATTGATTTGCATGTATTTTGTTGAGATTAGGTGGTGGTTGGAGGTAGTCGACAGGAAACCCTGGACCCAGGTTTCGTGCTACTTGGCGCTCGTCAGTAAGGTGTATATGTAATCTTGAGGGAACTGGTGCTCCCTGGAGGATTCGATCCCATGTCACCCAGCTTCACAGTCAGAGACGTTACCACTGAGCTATCTCGGCCGCGACTGACCTCCTGTATGATTGAGATGTAATCACAATTGATTGATCACTGGGTGGTGATACCCAACTACCATCTAATCTCAATATATAGTGCCGGCAGTGTCGAGTCACCTAGATTGGCGGCCACATTGCAACATGATTGATAGCATTCGATCTGCACTAAATAAAGACTTGACATACATGAAATTGATCACCACTCAGTGATCAATCAATTGCGATTACATGTATTTTGTAGTAAACATAACTGAATTACTTAGTTACGTATTAATTCTTACCTAGTATCCTCCTTAAAAAATAAAGTTACTGTTCAGTTGAATAGTCTATGAAGATTGGTTGATTTGATGATTTTTTCTTTAATACTATAGAATGATATCAATTGCATGAATTAAGAATGTTGGATAATGGATTTCAACTAACAGATCTTATAAAAAACGTCTTTGATAAACTAATTGAAAGATCCATGTTTGTTAGTGCAAACTATTGAGGATATTCATCTAATAATGTCTTTTTGTTGCTAAGAAAAAAATTTAAGGAGTAAAGTAAGTAAGTAATGTTTGTTAAGTATTGTTGATCACTAGACCTATATTATCGCTAAGGAGAGTTTTGAAGATAGTATTACAGTGTTACAGTTGAATTCATGTGTAAAGCTAATCTAGACAACCATTACAAACCTGTAAGCACTGGAAAGCCGTTTTATCTTAGTATGAAACTCCTCAGCAGTGTACACGTAGGACTTGAACTCAGGAGCTTGAGTCTTGCATCCGAACGTTTAATCTTCAAACTATTGAGCCGGTATCCAAAGGTATTAATATCTAAATTCAGTCATCAATATAACTCAATAGTATTAGTCGATATCCATTAATTACCCTTGAGAACATCGAGAACAGTTTTGTTATGATAACAGTGACAGAGATGATAAAATTATTTAGCGAAGTAATAAACCTTCCAATTCGAGAATAATAATCGATGTTTATCATAACTGGTAATTAAAAAAACTATCTTTTGAGGAATTTTCAACGTAAATTCACTCGGTATTATTTACTTGTATCTTCCCATTGATGTTAAGGACTGTAAGTGATCAGTCACTTATTGGCATATGTGCATCCTATGCGAATTGCCTCGATATCGCCTTAATTCCCAAGCAATCTAAACAAAGATGGATAGTGACTAGCAGTGGAATCCAGGATATGCATGTCATCCTATTTAAGACTTTCAGCTGGATGTACCTTCATTTCGAAATTGAGAGTCACTTCGAGGCTCGAACCCAGTACTGTTCATTTCAAACGCTATCACATTATTCCCTTAGCTACTGAGTCCTGACATCCATTAACTTGTGCAATGCTGTGAAGTTTTAATGATGTTTAATTGTATCTTTCCATTGTTATTTAGGACTGCAATGGATCAATCTCTTATTGGGATATGTGTACCCTGTGCCGATTGCCTCGATATTGCATGTAGCCTTTAAGTATTAGAATTAAAGATGGATAGGGACTAGTAGTGAAATTCAGTATGCGCATCTCATTTTATTTAAGACTCATCAGCTGGATATACTTGCATCCCAGTATTAACATCAATTTGACAACTTGAACCTAGTACCGTTCTCTTTAAAAATCATCGATTAATTTACTTAACAACTTAGTCCTAATAACCACAAATTCTTATCATCACGTTGACATGGAAACTAAAAAAAACCAAAAAAAACCCAAAATAGAAATCTGTTCAACATGAATTGATGTTATAAAACTTTTGACTAAAACTAAACTCTTCTGTCATATCATTAGCTATTTAAATTGTACATTTATATGTTTATAATTAGAAGCGGACAATTCAAATGTGTTTGTTCCTATATAATGACCTTGAATGTATTTCTCAAGGTTGAATTTAATTGGCCAATTATATTGCAGAATTCTGATTGGTGTTTTGATTTTTTTTTGTTTTTTTGTTGCGGGGGGGGGAAATGTGCTATAATATAATTAATTATTTGACATACACCATTATATATTAGACAAAGTATTTTCTTAGTTCTACTTTTGACATTCATACATACAAAAGTAAATACAAAGTTATTGTTGTTGTTGCTGTTGTCGCTGCTGTTTTTTTTTCATTTTTCGGGGGATCAATGTTAACAGTTATGTAACTTCTCAGAAAAATACAAAAATTTGTCTGACAAAGCTTGAAAATTAGAAGAAAATAAACTAAACACGGATTACATGTAACCAAATTCATTCAATATTGTGCAATCATATATAGGCACAGAAACTATTGATACACAATTGTAATAAGTAGGAGAAGAAGAAAAAGAAGAAGAAGACGGACAGTCCCAATATATATATATACATAAAAAGAGAGAGAGAGAGAAAGAGGAAAAAAACGAAGAGGAAGAAAAATTAACCAAACATATTTCACCAATATTTAATCAATAAGTCTGATTATATTGACAGCCTAGAATGGAAAGTAATATTCATTTATCAAATAGTGATCATGAATTAGTGTTAGATAAACGTGGTGCTAATACTAATACTAATACAACTGTTAATAATACAAATAGATCAGTTTTATTAAAACATACAACCTCATTACCAAGTGAAGAAGATTCTAATATTGATTTTAATCAACAAAATAATCAATATCATGAACAATTTCAACGTGATAGACCACAATCATTACGACCACGTATGGTTACAAGATCATCGGTAAATTATCATCAACAATCAAAATATAAATTACAATCAAATAGTGAACAACAACATTTAAATAAAATCAATAAATCATATAATAATAATAATAATAATAATAATAATAATAATTATCCTATTCTAACACCATATAATACAAGAAATAATAGTATTCATCAATCAAGTGATTATATTCCATTATTACATAGTGATAAATCCTTAGTAACAACACCACCACCAACAACCACCACCACCACCACCACCATAGCAACAACAATAACCAATATTCCAATTGATAATAATATGGATTCACAATTATTATCTTCATCAATTAGTCCAGAATTTATGGGGAATACATCAAAAGATACACATATTGATGATTTATTATTAACTAATAAAAAATTCAATCGTACAATTAAATATTTAGATAATACAAAATTAATAAGACGTGAATCAAAATCCTATTCAACAACAATATCACCAATACCATTAATTTCTTATCATCAAAATGTATTGCCAAATCATATGGATTTATATCCAATGATGATGGATAGATATAATAATAATAATAATAATAATAATAGTACAATAATCGATAAAAAATTCCCTAATAATAATAATAATAATGATAATAATAATAATAATCTAATTAAAAATATAAAACATAGATTCAATATCAATAAAACATTGAATACAACAAAAGTAAGTATCATACAGTTGATTCTTTATTGATTACTTACTTATATTTGTTACTACTCCCAATAGAGGAGTATAGGCCACTGATCAGTATTCTCTAATCTATTCTGTTTTGAGCTTTCCTTTCTAGTTCTATTCAATTTTTGTTCATTTCTTTTTCTTCTCATGTATGTCTCCATTCCTCGATGTAATGTGTTCTTTGGTGTTCCACTTCTTTTTCGGCTTTGAAGATTTCATAGGAGGGCTTGTCTTGTAATGTAGTTGAGTGCTTTCCTTAATGTGTGTCCTATCCAATTCCAGTGCTTCTTCCTGATTTCTTCCTCCGTTAAAAAACTGGTTATCTTAATTTCTTCTTCAACTGGAATATGGCTTGTTTTTTTCCACAGTAGTCTGTTGCTGATAGTATCCGACCAACAGATATTGAGTATCATGTGTAAACAAGTAGAACATAACTGTTTATTGTATGATAGTTGATCAGTATGAGTTATGTGGTTTACAATGATATATAATTTATGTTTTAAACTATATGGAGGAGTATAGACCGCCCACTAGCATTCATCATTTAAGCTTGTCTTTGGTAATCCATTCCACTTATTTTCATCTCTTAATTATTCTTCTTATATTAACTTCTAAATCCCTATGTAATGTCTGGTCTTGTTTGATCTCCCTCTTTTCCATTTCCCATCACGATTCCAAATTAGTGCTTTTCTCGTGATATAGTTTGCTCATTACCGTAATGTATGTCTCATCAATTTCCAACGTCTTTTCCTAATTTCTTCATCAGCTAGAAGTTCTTTTAATCTCTTCCATAGTAGGTTGTTGCTGACAGTATCCGACCGACAGATATTGACTATCTTGTGTAGACAAGTAGAACATAAATGTCCATTGTATGATAGTTGACCAGAATGAGTTATGTGCTAAATAATGAAATATAATAAATCATTGTCTGTGAAGAGTTGTCAATAATATATGTAAACAATGTCGATTTCTTTGGAATTTATGTTTTAACCCCACGTGGAGGATTGTAGGCCAACTAATAGTATTCTCCATAAAACACTGTCCTGAACAATCCTTTCCAGTTAATATTCATATCTTTCATGTCTGCTTCCAATTCCTGACGTAGTGTGTTATTTGGTCTTCCTCTTTTCTGCTTCTCATCAGGATTCTGTTATGGCGGGATGAAAGATCAAAATTAGGTTTTGATTACTCATTATGGTTTTTTACTGAACATTAATTCCGTTTAATTCAACTTGATGATCAATCGGTGAAGGATTCGCTTTCGTATTCCCCTGTCATTTTATTCTGTATAACATACGATATTCTTATATGAAGTATTTTTCATATATTTGATTTATTCTACTTATCAATCAAAGATGGGGGTGTACAAACCAATATATAAATAAGTGTATTTCCGACTAGACTTGTTGTCATTGTTCGTGCTTCTGGCTGCTTGCGGAATATATTTCCCCGTTTCAAACTTGAACTTCTCTTTCTAACTAGCGGGACTGAGACGCATCAGAATAGCTAGCTTATTGGTCTTTGGTGACAAAGTCTTTGTTCCGTTCGCAGAATACGTGAACTTTAAATCGCTTCAAACATAGTAGATTCTAAGTGAGCGCTCTTCTCGTGACGTAGTTTGCTCATTTTCTCAATATATTTCCTATCAACATCCTATGTTTTTTCCTAATTTCTTCTTCAGCTGGAAGCTGTTTTAATCTCCTGCACAATCGATTGTTGCTTATGGTTTCCAACCAACGGATATTGCGTATCTTCTGTAGACAACTGTTTATAAATATTTGTACATTTTTAATGATGGTAGTTCACCACGTTTCAGCTCTGTACAGTAGAACTGTGTTGACCTTAGTAATAAAGATTCTGAATTTGTTGTTATCTCACAGACATTTGTATTGCGTCAGATTTGTTCTTGAGTTGTAGGAATGCTGTCTTTGATTTGCCAATCCTCACCCTTATGTCTGCATCAGATCCTCATTGTTCGTCGATGATAATCCTCGGATACGTGAAACATTTCCCCTCTCCCACAGTTTCTACATCGACTGTGATGCGGTTAGTGTTTTACGTGTTGTATTTGAGGATGTTACTTTTTTCCCTTATGTATGTCGAGGCCTAATGGTGCAGAGGCTTCTCCTAAACTAATTCCCTTCATCCACCTTTGTGTATAAGAGGTCACGTCATCTGCGGAGTCCAAATCTTCTAATTGATTCCAGGCTACCTATTTTATTCCGCGCTTTTCTTTAGATATCGGGGTTTCCATAATCCAGTCGATCACAAGAAGAAGAAGGCGAATACTTTTAAACCAATCCACTGAAATCCATTAACGTTAGTAATTAGTTTACCATTATACACCTAATTATATTTTCATTCCGTAATTAATTGCGTAGCAAACAGAAAGTTTATCTCAGGTTCAAACTTTTTAATGGTAGTAATTGAAACAACCTCATATGGGTTCGAGCCCAGTATTCACAGTAACTACAAAAAGTATGGGACAGTTTTGGTGCATGAATCTAAGAACATACTTTTGTTTTTTACTCTCATTATGCTGGTTTGATCTGTAATTGATCTGAACTATGATCTTATTTTCTGCCAAGATAAAAGATGTTTGACTGAACAAATGAATTTGTTCATTGTGTATCAGTAGTAAAGAGTCGTTGAAAAAAGAAAACAGGCCTCGTTATCTTACATAGAAACTGTATACATTCTTGTCTGTATTTTGATACTGTTTCTTATGCTACAAAAATATCGGACTCGATCATGATCATAATAATCGTGAAATATATGAAGATACAAGTGAATTTAAAACTTCACCTCATTGCACAAGCAAGTGGCTGTCAAGACTAAGTAGCTAAGTGGATAATGTGATGGCATTTGAAGGGAACAGTACAGGGTTTGAGTCACAGAGTGAACATCAACTCTGAAATGCAGGTATATCCAGCTAACCAGTACCAAATAAGACGAGACGCGCGTCCTGGCATAGGATGCACATATACCAACAATTGACTGATCAATTGCAGTACTAAACAACAATGGGAAGATACAAGTAAAACAACACTAAGTGAATTTATAGTTTGTGTATCCGACTAACATTACACATTAATGATGTTTTTGTTAGGACTTGGATTATGTATTTCGTTTATGCAAATAGTAATCAATACTCAAAGTGATAGATTGATAGACCAGACCTTCTGAATATTTGTACTTAGTAGTTCAGTAGATAACAAATTTAGCGTTTCTAATAACGCTTTTTTATTTCAATGTGAATATCAATACTGGACTACAGATACTTCTCAGGTAACGAGCCGTAAATAAAATGAAATATGATTCCTGGATTTCAATGCCACCGGAATATCATCTGTTCAAAATAAGTTGTAACACAATTACTTACTTGCTTACGCCTGTTACTCCTTGTAAAAGAACATCGGTCACTCACCAGCACTCTCCATGCAACCCTGTCCTGGGCAATCATCTCTAACTCTTTCTCGTTTTTATTCATCCTTTTCATATAGGCTTATATTTCTCGACATAATGTGTTCTTTGGCTTGTCTTGTGATGCAGTTTGATGATTTGCGTAATGTATATCCTATCCATTTTCATCGTCTTTTCTTAATTTCCTCTTCATATGGAAGGTGGTTTGTTCTCTCTTACACATTTGCTAAACTTAGAACAATACACATATGATCAATATGTGTCATGGCTTAATATCAACATCGGAATCAGTCAGCAAAGTATTAATAAGAATGTTATATAGCTATACCTCAGTTCAGAAATTTGAAAGCCAATGCAAACATTTATTCATATGAACAATTAAACTTATATCAAAATTTATAGGAATATTTATTAATTTCAACAGTTGAGATCACGAGTCAATTGAAGCTAGACGACCATGGAAAACCTCAAAGCACTGGATGGCCGTTTCGTCCTATTGTGGGACTCCACAGCAGTACACAACCACGACCCCGCCTCGCAGGATTCGAACCAAGGGCTTATCAGTCTCGCGCCAGGCACTTAACCAACTAGACCACTGAGCTGGCATCCAACGATGTTAATGTCTATCTTCAACTAATCCACGAAATTGAGCGACACATCCACTATTGTTATCAGTGAGTTACCACCTCACAACAGACACGGTTGAACTCCAATGGTCCTCGGTTCGAATCCTGCTAGGCGGGGTCGTGGATGCGCACTGCTGAGGAGTCTCACAATAGGACGAAACGGCCGTCCAGTGCTTCCAGGTTCTCCATGGTAGTTTAGCTTCAATTGACTCATGATTTCAACTGTTTAAATTACTATAATCTCCACAAAACCCCTTCGAATATTTATTACTTATTTCATTACTTAACTATTTCTTTCGTTTCTTCATTCCTTCCTCAGTTACTTACTTACGCCTGTCACTCTTCATAGAGGAGCATAGGTCACTAATCACCAGGATTCTTTGTTCAACTCTGTCCTTGACAATTCTTTCCAGTTACTAATATATTTCAATTATTTACATTTCTGTATAGTGAACAATCATGCCATTCAATAGAATATGATTGTTTACAGTTTTTTTGTTTGTTTGTTCTTATAAATTAATATCACAATAGGAAAGTAATAAATAACTTTGTTTTAATTATTGATTTAATATTTAATGGAAAATCTGAATGTAGAATAGTATAGAAAATCTTTACCTTCTACTAATCAATAGTATAGTTCTATTTGGCGAGAGTATAATTTATGAAAGAAACCAATCAAGTATAAGATAAAAGATCTTGGATTTAGGCGTGAATTTCACTCATTCATTTGATGAAATAAAGCTCCATTGATTTCTGATTGGATGGAACTCTTCGGTTCCTCAACGGCTCTTTGAAGGCTCTGTCGTAGTTCTAAGAAACTGTCCCAACACTATCAATTGTAAATTATAATCTTTATTCTTCACACTATTTTATAATACTCATTTAGCCCCAGTAATTAGGTGGACATTTTCAAAGTCACTTTGGCGTCACTTAAAAATC